ACACTTGCTTTCTGTCAGTTTGTGGGACTAACTTACTTTAAAGTGTCCCCCCCACCCCCAATATGAGGTATTACTGTCTTTATCTTACAGGTGAGAAAACTCAGGCTTAGTGAGACAGACCCTTAGTAACAGACCCTGATCTATTTCACACCAGAGCTATACCCCTAACCACTAATAGTGTAATTTTGTCCTCACAAGCTAGACTACCTAGATTTGAATCCTCGCTCTTCAGTATCATCTTGGGAAAGTGACTTAACCTCTACCCAGTTTCTGAAATGTACGTAATAGTGTGTTACCCTCAAGGTTGTTGGTTATGTTAATACATGCTTAGAAGAGTACTGGTAGAGTGATTTTTTAATTTTAGCTCGTTTAATGATTATAATTAAAATCTTTGTAGAAAGCATTTGTGACTGCCTTGGATATTATCAAATACCAAGTTTGTGTCCTGATTTACCTGAGTTGTCATGAAAGGGATAGAAATGTAAAGTATGAATCTTGCCCTTATTTGGGAAGACAAGAAAAATAAGCATGAAACCTGACAAACACAATGCAGTTACTGCTAAGTAATGTAATAGAGACTACAAATGCAAATAGAATTTGGTATCCAGAAATACACTTAATGGCTTAAAATTATTCAAATATATAGTAGTCCTTCAAGTTTTGTGCTGAGAAATTTTGTGCCGGTTTTGTCAGGATATTGGCCTTCTCTTGGCTTTGTTTTTTTTTTTTTTTTCTTTTTTTTTTGAGACAGAGTTTCACTCGCATTGCCCAGGCTGGAGTGCAATGGTGCAATCGGCTCACTGCAACCTCTGCCTTCTGGGTTCAAACGATTCTCCTGCCTCAGCCTCCCTAGTAGCTGGGATTACAGGCATGTACCACCGTGCCTGGCTAATTTTGTATTTTTAGTAGAGACAGGGTGTCTCCATGTTGGTCAGGCTGGTCTCAAATTCCCAACCTCAGGTAATCTGCCTGCCTCAGCCTCCCAAATTGCTGGGATTACAGGCGTGAGCCACTGCACCCAACCTGCTTTTGTTTTCTTTTTCACCCTGAACTCTATGTTCAGTCACCTGACTTTGTAGCACCTCAAATCCCTCATCATTGTTACCCTCTCCAGGCTGCATCTCTAGTACCCAGCAGGTTTGAGAGTATGGTCTCCCTATTCCCTTCCTTGGAATGTTAGTGGGAATTGACACCATTCTTTTTGGATTCCAACATTAGCTGGTCCTTTGATACCAATCTTCAGTTGTTTTATTTGTCCATAGTTAGCTTCCTTTTCCATACCCTGGAAGGTATTTCCAGTATTTACAGCTGTTTTCTTATCCATTAGACATCATGATGGCCTCTCATTTTACGAATAAAATAGAGACTTTCAGACTTAACTCCTGCTTATGTCCTTCGCCCAGCTGGCATCTGTTAGACTTCTTGCTGAAATTAAAGTGACCTTGACTTCTGCAACATCTCACCTTTGATTGCTCCCTTCTTTCGAGGTTGTGTCTTTCTACAGCACCTGAGGCTGGTTTCAGTTCTTCCTGTTATCAGTTCTCAGTTTCCTTTAATACATTTTCTTCTTGACTCTCCTGTCAATGTGTTTTTGTTCCGGGGGAGTACATTTACTTCCATGGTTTTGTTTGCCAATTACATACTAGTGAACCCCACCTTTTCAGCCCAGACCTCTCTCTTGAACTATACATAGATACTTCCAACAACCTACTGAATACTTTCAACTCGGAGGTCCCAGGGGCACTTCAGAGTTGACTTTCGTCAGCAGAACCTAATAATATATACCCACTTCTCCCAAAACAAAAAAAATAGTTATTTTTCCTGTTCCCTACTGTCTTCTGTTACCTTCTTCTTAGTGTGAGAGCCTTTTTATGTTTGTCTTGTCCCTCTGCTTTTGAATCCTTTCTCTAAAAATAACTAAAAAGTAAAATTAATTATGTATTTTTTAAAAACCTTAATAAGATCTCTCATTGCCTTTAGTTTAGATTGAAAATTCAGTTTCTACAGTATTGATTTTCTATAATGGGCTGGAGAGAAAATTGACTGGTGATCTTGTCCCAGTTCACAAAAGGGATGGATTTTTTTTTTTTTTTTTTTTCATTTTGAGTTTTTCTCTGGATCTTACTACATGCTACCACTTTTTTTATACTTAAAGGTTTAATCATAATGAATAACCATATAACAATACTTCCCCTAAAGGTACGTCAAATAATTTTCCAAGAGTTTTTTTTAAAAACTTTGATTTTAGGTTCAGGGTTACATGTGAAGGGTTGTTACATAGGTAAACTCGTGCCATGGGGGTTTGTTGATTATTTCATTACCCTGGTATTAAGCCCAGTACCCAATAGTTATTTTTTCTGCTCCTTTCCCTCCTCCCAAGCTCCACCCTCAAGTAGACTCCAGTGTCTGTCGTTTCCTTCTTTGTCTTCATAAGTTCTCATCATTTAATTCCCACTTGTGAGAACATGTGATATTTGGTTTTCTGTTCCTGTGTTAGTTTGCTAAGGAAGATTGCCCCCAGCTTCATTTATGTTCCCACAGAAGACATGATCTCATTCTTTTTTATGGCTGCATAATATTCCATGGTGTGTATGTACCACACTTTATCCAGTCTGTCACTGATGGGTGTTTATGCTGATTCCATGTCATTGCTATTGTGAATAGTGCTACAATGAACATTCGTGTGCATGTGACTTTATGGTAGAATGATTTATATTCCTCTGGGTATATATCCAGTAATGGGATTGCTGGGTGGAATGGTAGTTCTGTTTTTAGCTCTTTGAGGAATTGCCATACAACTTTCCACAACAGTTGAACTAAATTACACTACCACCAGCAGTGTATAAATGTTCTCTTTTCTCTGCAACCTCTCCAGCATCTGCTATTTTTTGGCTTTTTAATAATAGCCATTCTGACTGATATGAGATGGTGTCTCATTGTGATTTTGATTTGCATTTCTCCAGTGATCAGTGATATTGAGCTTTTTTTCACACGCTTGTTGACCACATGTATGTCTTCTTTTGGAAAGTGTTCATGTTCTTTGCCTACTTTTTAATGGTTTTTTTTTTTTCCCTGTAAATTTGTTTGTTCCTTATAGATGCTGGATATTAGACCTTTATCAGATGCATAGTTTGCACGTGTTTCCTCCCCATTCTGTAGGTTGTCTGTTTACTCCATTGATAGTTTCTTTTGCTATGCAGAGACGTATTACTACTTTTATCATCACCTGTTACGGGGTAATATTTGAAATAGTGTAAACTTTTATACTTAGTATTTAAGTATACAAATGTCCAATTTTCAAAGCCTTTCATAGTTGACTCTGTCATTGTCAACCTTATTCACTGCCATGGCTCACCTTAGAATCTTGCAAATTTGTTTGAATTCCCGACTGCCACTATTCACTATAAGAACTTGGGCATGACAATCAAAATGGTGTTAGCAGTATATCAGTACTTAACTTTTTGCATTATGAGGATTAAATAAAATAATGGAGTTAAAGTGCTTAGTTCAAGGCCTGGCACATAGGAAACATTCAAGAAACATTAGCTGCTCTTGTTTTACTGTTGTGACTGCCTTACTCCTTAGCCTGAATGTGCAGTTATCGATGCCTTTGTTCACACTATTTTCAGGCCCTGGAGCACTTTATGCTTTCCTCCTCCCACTTCCTGTGTCTACTTCTCTCTCAGGATTAGGGCTTCTAAAAACTTTTCCCAGCATGTAGTCCTTTACCATCCACCCTTGTCTTTACATAGGCATTCCCTTATTGGTGCTTTTTGTACATATTTCTACTTGGATTATTGCATTTCATTACAATTTGGACTTTGAGTTCCTTTTCAGTGGTAGGGATTAGTTCTCAGTCTATTTATATCCTGGTATTACTGCCCTGCCTTGGAGCTAACAGGTTTTTTCAGTTGGTAAAAATAAATGCTGTTATCTAGGTTATCTCATTTAATCCCCTCAGCCACCCCGTGGTAGGGAGGTGTTATTATCTTCCGTTTCCAGTTAGGGAATCAGGCTGGTTGAGGTTAAATGATTTGCCCCAGGCTACTTAGTATGTAAGTGCTGTAAACCTAGAAATCCTAATATTTAATAACTTATTGCTATTGTATAGCTACCCTCTTATACCTGATATTTGTCTTTATAGTATGAGTAGAATAACATTTAAGTTTGGGCTGTGTAAGACATCTCAAGAACTGGGATTCTGCTTATTCAGAATTGTTATAGTTTCATCTGTGTAGAACTTGCTTTCTTTTTACTATATAATATTGCTTAGCAAAACAATTGAGTATGTAAATACATTTAAGATATTGAACTTTGTATCGACCATTTGCTCAATAAATATGTAGAGTTGTTTTTACTTGAAAGAATTAACATTATATTTTTTTCAAAATTCAGATTTTCATTGATTTCAATTATCCTTTATTAAATTTTATTTATTTAATATCCTTGAGATAATTATGTATTCGTATGTGAACGATAGGCCTTTCTTGGTGCCTATAGAATTGTCATTTTAGGATCATGTAATAACAAATTTGGATGACCTAAGGATTTGTTACAGCTTTTGTATTCAGTGAAAAACGTTGCTTCTGATAGCTGGGGTAGGGAAACTGAGGAGGGGAACTACATTATTAAACTACAAAATTACTGCATTTTATTAACTTTATAATATTTTAAAGCCACATTAGCAGTGTATATGTTGATTCTAGTTATTCTGGAAGGTGTAATTGTGGTTTGCGTTACATCATAAATTCTAAAGAATGCAAGACAGTTTCTTATTTTTAAAGAACAAGGAATAGAATTGAAAATGAGCAGTGTTTAGTATCATTGTATAATCTTCCAGTTTAATTTATGGATTTACTTTGCTTTATTGTTTTTGTTTTTAAGGTTTGCTTATTTAAAAAATATTTATAAGCATTCCTCTCATTACAGAGCATAGTAATGAAGGAAGATTTCATCATGAATTTCACCTCTGTAACAGTAATATTTATATTTGATTTTAGGGAAGCTATGCGAAATTATTTAAAAGAGCGAGGGGATCAAACAGTACTTATTCTTCATGCAAAAGTTGCACAGAAGTCATATGGAAATGAAAAAAGGTAAGATTATTGTTTTTCTGGTGGATAGTTAATTGTAGTTACCACATGAATTTGCCAATTATATATTAATATATGTGTCAGAGGATGGTTTCTATTACTGGGTTCATTTGCTAGTACAAAATAAAAAATAGGGGATTTGTCTCCTCAAGGGGAGAAACAAAGTGAATTGTAGTATACTGTTAGGAATAGATAATTGGTGCCATGAAGAAAAGTCAGCATGGAGACAGAGGACCTCTCAGCAAGGCAATCTTTACTTTCTGCAGAAAAGGTGCCCCTTGCAGATGGAATAATGGAGAGAGCACACTTAACAAAGGAAAAGCAGACATATTTGTCCCTTATGCATTTGGGTCATCCTTACCTCTGTGTCCTGCATCCATTGGCTGGAGCTGGACCTCACAGTCTTAAATTGATACCCGATTTGCTAATAATATAAAACTTTCCTAAATAGGTAAGTACAAGCAAGAACAAAGAAGAGAGGAAGTTGCTTACAAAAGGTTTAAGAAAGCAATAACATTTCCGAATAAGGAAGAGGCATAAAGCTATGAGCTAAGACTTGTCTGGGCCTGCCCAGACATGCCTAAGTAAACCAAAGCGACTAATTGGGGTAAAGTGTAAGAACTAATAGTTGATAGGAGGCTTTAGAGTAAGAAGCTATTATTTCTAGTGTCTGTTATTTTATTTTTAAACCAAGACGAGCTTTGAAGAGGAACTTTTCTACTTTCTACACATACTCAAGCCAGAAGGAGAATTTAATAAAGGTCATCTTGTTAATAAATCCCTGATCTTACAAAATCAAATAATCCACAATTTTTCTTTTGGGCTACATAATATTTCCCAAATACTTATGTGATACATTAGGTCATTCACAGCGAAGCTTTCTCTTTGGTGGAAAATGTAGTTTTTTACACAAATGTGACCCCAAAAGTACCATTTTGAAAAGGAAAAGGCTAAACAAGCTCTTGATCCTAAAACTGTCTTGAGCTTAGGTTAATTGAGCTATGGAGTGATTATAAGGAAAATCCTGGCCCTCTCTCTTGATCCTATTCTTGTTTGGGTTGCTATTAAGAAGAAACAGCAAAACTGGGTTCATACTCTCATACTGGTTGAATGTGGACTCAACAGAAATTACCTATAAAGTAGATTAACCAAAATTAAATTACAACAAGGTGATTTAAAAATATTTCTCGTGGTATTCTATAAATTTCAGCATTTTTTATGTTTAATTGGGGACTTTCATTGTTTCTTCACTTGGTTCCTGAAATTTTCTTGTGAATAGTTTCTTGAGTCTGTCTTTCAAACAGCATTTTTTGGTTAAGCATTTCATGGAAAAAGCCTGCTTATGGAGAAAGATCAAAGGTTTTTAATTGGCTAGAAAGGTACCCAACTGAAGAGAGAAGGAATGAAAACTAAGGTTTAGGGGTTGTTGTGAAAGGAATGAGTAGAATTCTTAGATTGTGACATAAAGGAAACCTCAGCTTATGCTTAAGAGAAGGGAAATGTAATATGTATGTGATTAGATTAATTTACATGTTAAAAGAGAATTAGGAAGTCCCTTTTTAGGAAGTTCCTAGAAGCTGACTAGATCTGAGCTGAAAAGAAGGGTAAAGCTTTTTTTTTTTTTTTTTTTTTTTTTGAGACAGGGTCTCACTCTGTTGCCCTGACTGGAGTGCAGTGGTATGATTTTTGCTTACTGGGCTCAGGTGATCCTCCCACCTCAGCCACCTGAGTAGCTGGGACTACAGGCACTCACCACCATGGCCGGCTAATTTTTGTATTTTTTATAGAGACAGGGTTTCACTATGCTGTCCAGGATGATCCCAAACTCCTGGGCTCAAGTGATCCGCCCTCCTCTGCCTCCCAAAGGATTAGAGGCATGAGACACCGTGCTTGGCCAAGAAGGTAAAGCTATTTAATTGGTAGTTTTATCCTCAAAGATGAACAAGTGAAAACAGTATTTAAGATTCATACTGCCAGGTATTGTTATTCAGGCTTACTAAATTTATGATTATTTTATCTTACTTTACTAAAACAACTTAAACACTGATTTAGGGTTAAATATGGGAAGAAGTTGGTATCTGTAGGTTGGGACACAGCATACCAACTCAAATTTTTTTTCCCACGAAGTTGATACTAGAAATTCAGTATTTCTTTTTCATTAATGAAATTTAGTGTGTGTTTATAGCAAGTTTCTGCTTTTTAAGCAAAACAGAAAAAGTCAACACCCATCATTATGGAAGAAGAATCTAAAAGTGCTTTATAAATATTTTAAAGTTGTAATCCTCATAACAATTTTGTAAAGTAGTCATGTTATGATCCAAATTCTGTGGGCAAAGAATCTAAAAATCAGAGATTTTAAATGTGTCCAGGTTGACATTAGTTAGGAATCTGTGGAGCTAGGGTTGGAACTCTTGAGGGCCTAATTTTAAATATTTACCCTTTTTACTACCCTAATTGCCATACCATTCCATTTGCGTTTGAGTGTTGGTTATCTAGAGCAGGGACTAAGGAGGAAAAGATCCTCTGAGTACTTAAACTTTGTAAACTTAACTTTGCCTAAGACTAGCTCTTTTACCATTACCTAGGTGAGACTGGGCTAGTTCTAAATGAATTGTGAATAGATGCATGTTAATCATATAGCTTCAAACTTGGGCAAGCTGCTTTTCTTTTCTCTGGATTTTTGAAGATGCATTTTAGTGCAATTGAATTCACTTATTCTTTATTTCTGGTTGGCTATTTGGCTATTATGTGCCAGGTTTTATGCAAAAGGATATTTACTAGGAGTTTTAAAAGTCACTATGTCATTTAATACCAGGATGTATAACTGAGGCCCAATGGAGATAACAAAAGGGAAGAGCTATTTAGAAAATTATGTTAAAATCCAGATAAGGTTCCTGTTTGTTAGTTACTGTTAAAAAATATGGCTGGGTGCGGTGGCTCATGCCTGTAATCCCAGCACTTTGGAAGGCCAAGGTGAGAGGATCACCTGAGGTTAGGAGTTCGAGACCAGCCTGCCGACATGGTGAAACCCTGTCTCTATTAAAAATACAAAAATTAGCCAAGTGTGGTGGCAGGCGCCTGTAATCCTAGCTACTGTGGAGGCTGAGGCAGGAGAATCGCTTGAACCTAGGAGGCGGAGGTTGCACTGATCCGAGATAGTGCCACTGCACTCCAGCCTGGGCGGCAGAGTGAGACTCTGTCTCAAAACAAACAAACAAACAAAATGCATATAGAGCTGTAGTGGTTTATCGAGTTAAAACGGAAAATTTAGCCTTATCTTTTATTGTAGTAGCTTTTATATTTTTTCTTCTTTTTTTTCTTTTTTTTCTGAGATGGAGTCTCACCTTGTTGCCCAGACTGGAGTGCAATGGCACAATCTTGGCTCACTGCAACCTCTGCCTCCCAGGTTCAAACGATTCTCCTGCCTCAGCCTCCTGAGTAGCTGGGATTACAGGCACCCACCACCATGCACAGCTACTTTTTGTATTTTTAGTAGAGACAGGCTTTCACCATGTTGACCAGGCTGGTCTCGAACTCTTGACCTTGTGATCTGCCCGCCTCTGCCTCCCAAAGTACTGGGATTACAGGCGTGAGCCACCGCACCCGTCCTGTTTTCAATTTCTCTGTATTGTTTGGGCATGGCCTAGTTGGTCTAAAACCCAGTCAAAAGAAAGCTTGAACAATCTAAACTTTGAAGTCCTCTAAAAAATGAATAAAAATGATGAAAAGGCCAGAGTACTACTTTCCTATATTTTCACTGATTTGTATTGTTAAAAATTTCAAAGTAGACGTGCATTACTTTATAATAAATGGGAAACCCATTAAATGTACTTGATTTTTTAAAAAAACAGGTGTTAGTATTAAGGGATTGCTAATGCTAGTCTAGCCCTCTGGATGTCCAGCAAACTCCCCTGGATTCAGAAAAGAGTTCTGGGCTCTTAATTGGTGGTGGAGTGCATAGTGGGAAGAGGAAGATCTGCCTTCTTTCTTGCTGATCCAGGTTCAGGCCTTTTTGAAGAGTTGCAAAGGCACAAGGCGTGAGGTTACCTGGGGGCATGATCACAGTCCTCTTGGCTGTGTCTTTTTGGCATATAAAATAACTCCAGTGAGTGACGCTTAAAAATACTTGGTTAGGAAATTTTATCCCCAAATTTTAAATTGTTCTTGATGTTAAATATGGTGCCTAATAACTAATATTTATTTGCATGGCACATCTAGTACCCCATTTATATTAGTGATGAGTTTCTCATTAAGTAAGGTCTTAGGTTAAAAAATAAACTTTTTAAAAGATTATTTTATCTAGAGGAAATGTTAATATGTCAAATGACATATTCACATTGTTAATAACATGTGAATATGTCATTTGACATATTAACATTCGGCTTTCTTGAAGGCAGTAATTAAGCAGCAGTATGATGCTGTTGAAACAATTAACAGTAAAGCCATTTAGACTGATTCTGAAGTCATATTGAGATTTGTGTTAATTGGCCAATTGTGGTATGCAGAAAGTTCCTAAATACGGTCCTTGTGAACTGAATAATCATCAAAGGTTAGTAATGATTCTGCAAAGGTAGCAAGATAATGCAAATGTCATGAGTTTGGATTCTGTTTAACCGAATTTATATATTGGGACGGATAAAAAGGCTTCTTTGAATCTGTAAGGCAGTTTTCAGACATCATCTCAAGATTTGAGGAAATAGGTGTTGAAACAGTCTCTGAAAATAAAGACAACTATGACAGGAATAAAATTTTAAATGTGTGCATATCGCCACCAAGTGGCAGAGAAAGTATTGTTTGTCAGTTGATAGAGCTGCTGGGAAAGATGAGAAAATAGAGGCAACGTGTTTTATAGGGTATCTTTTTGTAGCAGCAGTTAAACTCCGTAAGCTAACCACTTACTGGTCAAACTTTTCACTGAGTGTTTGATACATATTGACCAACTGCCCAAATTTTTAAAAAATCATCAGTTTCACACACCTGGCCTAAAATACACCACCTAAGATATATTTTAGGCCAGGTGCAGTGGCTTGTGCCTGTAATCCCAATACTTTGAGAGACCAAGACAGGAGAATCCCTTGAGACCAGGAGTTCAAGACCAACCTGGGCAACATAGTGAAAGTCTGACTCTATCTTTAAAATTAAATAAATAAATAAGTAAATAAATAAAATAAAGATGTATTTGAGTTTTCTTCTGTTAATTTGGTGGCCTTTTATTTTTACCCCACTCCCTTTGGTTTCTTTTGCTTGTATTCTTGCCCTTTTTTTGTATATATGCTGACTTTTATTCAATCACTGTATTGTTACTAAAGTCTGGGCAACAACTTGATTTGTTTGCCGTATTTTAGGGGATGATGATATTGGGATGTTTAAGTTATGATTTTATCAGCAATATAGAAATAATTTCAATGTTTAGATTATTTTGGATTTGCTACTTTCTCCCATCATGGCTTTTTGAAATAATTTAGAGTTTTTTTTTTTTTTTTTTTAAGACTCAGAGACTATTGAAAAGTCTTCATTTTTCTTATATTTATTACATGATTGGAAAGCACTTTCAAGATAGACCCTTGGTCATTGTTTTGAATAGAGAATTTTTTGTCGACCTGAATTTTACCGTTTCATGCATTTTGTCACAGTACTTTTGAGAAAACTAGCACTACTCATTCTTTTATCATTTTAGCTCTCTTTATTTTTCAGATGTGAAATTAAGAAGTACCACTTATGATAACTCATTGAGATTTGACTACTGTATTTGGCATACAGGTTGTGCATTCCCAATCCAAAAATTCGAAGTGCTCCAAAATCTGAAAACCCTGAGTGCCAACATGACCCTGTAAGAGTCTTCCTCTGTCATCTAGGCTGGAGTACAGAGGCACTATCTTGGCTCGCTGCAACCCCTACCTACCGGGTTCAAGCAATTCTCGTGCCTCAGCCTCCTGAGTAACTGGGACTACAGGCATGCACCACCATGCCTGGCTAATTTTTGTAATTTTAGTAGAGACAGTGTTTCGCCATGTTGGCCAGTCTGGTCTTGAACTCCTGGCCTCAAGTGATCCGCCCGCCTTGGCCTCCCGAAGTGCTGGAATTACAGGCGTGAGTCACTGCACCCAGCCTGGAGCATTTTAGATTTGGGGTGTTCAACCACTAAGAATAAATGCAAACAATCCAAGATCTGGAAAAAAAAAATTGAAAACACTATTGGTCCCAAGCATTTTAGATAAGGAATACACAACCTGTACTAAAACACAGCTCTTTGAGTTTTATAGCTGATACACCAATTTACTAAGGAGTCCTAACATCAGTGTTCAATAGAAAACTAACAGGAGTTGTGTTTCCAAAACTGATGCCTTCTCAACCTCCTGAGAGTGTGCCAGCCTAGGTATTTGACTCTGTGCCATAGTAAGCATTGGGTAACTCCTAGCATTAGAAGCCAGAAAGCTCCCCTTTGTAGACTTGAACTGAACCCACTCCAAAACTAGCCCAGTTAATCCAGGCTTCCCTCCAAACTTAGAGTGACCTGGAACTGGGCCCACTACCTTGGCTGTGACCTTTATATCCTTGGCCTCAGTGTAAGTATACAGGCATGAAAACTGCTCTTTTCTATTGGATTAGATAAATGTGAGAGGACTACAGAGACTTCCCTCCTCACTCAGTTAAATCCTTAGGGCCTCCTTGGTCTACTTGTCCACTACCTCTGGCTTCGCTGCCTCTTAATCCCCCTCCTGCTCTCCACTCCAGCCACTCTGGTCTGTTGGTTATTTCCCCACTCTTGGTCACAGTCCTTCCTACCTCAGAACCTTTGCACTGGCTCTTTCCTCTGTGGAAATGCTCTTGCCCCAGGTGTCCACATGGCTTTAAGTCATGACTCAAAGTCACCTTCTTAAGGAAACTTTTCCTGGCCACCTTGGGCTGTCCCCATTTCAAGTACCCCTTGCCTGCTTTATTTTTTTCTCCCCAGCTAACGGAGTACACCAGCTAACGGAGTACATGTGCATGTTATTTCACTCATTTATCTGTTTTTATTATCTGTCTCCTATTAAAGTGTAAGTTCCATGAGGACAGGAATTTTGTTTAATTTTTTTGATTATTTTTACTGCTATATCTCCAGTATCTGTTACACACTCAGGATATAATAAATAATTTGGAGAACTGATGAATATTAAATAAACCCAGCTTACTTCTTGTAAGTCATATGTAAATTGCCTCTAAAGTAGTCTGGTTAGGGTTGAGCAAAAAGTAGGTTCTATTAATATATTTTGAGTCAGTTCAGTAGATAATATTGTAGAGGCTGAGAGGGAAGCAAATAAGAAGTAGATATTACCACCTTCAAGAAGACCTAAGCACCAAATCCAGCCTACTGGTGTCCGCATGTGTGTGCATATATGCACATAAAGTTTTTTTTCTTTTAGTCTGCACGTTGTTGGCCTACAAAGTGTTAATAAGTGTAAATTAGTTGCCAAATTAAAAAAAAACTATTTCATACAAAATTTGATTTCAGGCATCTGTTGAACAATTGGAGGACGGGACCAACACTAGACCTGCATGCCCATAGTTCAGCCACGTGAGTGTGAGTGGATATATACACACCAGTGGCTAATTATCATTGCATTTAAGATCTGGGTTTTCTTATACTAGGATTAAGAAAAGTAAAAAATTTGGGGTACTAATAACAGTACAAAAAGTGAGAATGACAATGGAGGCTGTGTGTTTCAAGAAAGAAGAGAAGAAAACTACTTCTTTGGGAAACTAAAGGATATTCCTAATTTTTTTTAAAAGACAGTCTCACTCTCACCCAGGCTGGAGTGCAGGTGCACTATGACAGCTCACCGCAGCCTTGAGCTCCCCGGCTCAGGTAGTCCTCCCACCTCAGCCACCAGAGTAGCTGGGACTATAGGTGCCTGCCACCATGCCCACTAATTTTTGTATTTTTTATAGACACGAGGTTTAGCCATGTTGCCCAGGCTGGTCTCAAACTCCTGGGCTCAAGCAATCCACCTGCCTCTGCCTCCCAAAGTGTTAAGATTACAGGCACCGCGCCCAGCCTGGATATTCCTGTTTATTGTATACATCATTCACCCATGTATATGACTTATGTGGCTACTATAGTTAATTTGAGTTTTCAGGCCCTCTAGAGAGATATGGCATAGATGTTTTAAAGTATGTACAAGTCAGCATTATAATTGAGCAAAGCTGAATTTACACCCTATATAAGGACTGGATTGATGGTCTGAACTGTGTAAAATATGAGCCTTGAGCTAGGCTTTGCAGTAGATAATATTTTTAATTGCTAAAGAAAAGATTATAAGAAAGTCATTATCAGAAGAACTTGTGAGGGTGGTTTTTGACAACTAGCAAAACAAACCTATGGTATTCTGTGAGTTGAAAGAATATAGTGTATTGTTCTTTGAGCATGAAATATTTCTCAGATATCTACAGTGCACCAGGTGTTCCAAGTATATATAAAATTCAAAGATATGTAAAATACAACATTGCTCATAATCAGGAGATCCATTTACTTTTGACTCTTGCTTTTATTAATATTTTGGGTATTTCTACTATGGACAATACTCTAATACAAATTTCCAGGTTAATTTATCCCATTAAGTTAATTTACCACATTAAGTTAAATGCAGTATCCATAACAATAATGTCACTCATTAATGATTGTGTCATTTTGAATAGGCCTTAATTAGTAATTACAGATTTTGTGGTGGTTTATCATGTTTTGTAATATGTTAGAGTGCACCGAATTTGCTGAACTCCAGTAGTTTAGAACTCTGAGCCATGTGAAAATACAAAGAGAAGTTCTGTACTCTAAAAAGTATTTAATCTAACTGTACGCGTAACTCCAGTATTTTACCTGAACAGATTTAGTTATTGTGGAAGTCTCGATTTCTGTCTTGTGGGCATGATTATTTGCATTACAAAAGGCTTCACCAAAATTTTTCTTTGGGAAATAGGTGCATTTCAATATGATTTTGTATTCATAATGTTCAAGAAAAGGAAATGCTTTCTTGAATCTAATTGATTTGAGCTTTTTGTTTTTTTCCCCCCATTATTCTTCAGGTTTTTTTGCCCTCCTCCTTGTGTGTATCTTATGGGCAGTGGATGGAAGAAAAAAAAAGAACAAATGGAACGCGATGGTTGTTCTGAACAAGAGTCTCAACCGTGTGCATTTATTGGGATAGGAAATAGTGACCAAGAAATGCAGCAGCTAAACTTGGAAGGAAAGGTAAATCAAGACTGCTAGTTCACCAGAAAGGGGCACCATGGTACCAGAATGTAGTTTTCATGTTCATTTTTGTGGTGGAGATTTTTTTCTTTAATAACTATTAGTAACAATTTCTGGAATATATAAACTAGGACCAAAAAGTATGCCTCTCAGATCACTTTGGTCTAGTCATTCATGAAGCTTATGCTGCTGACATTGGAAGATGGCATGCAGTAAGCTTCCCCAGCTTGCAAGCAGTTTTAGCAAATCAGATTTCTAGTGGAAGCCAGTAATAAATTTAGGAGGCTGATTGCTCATCTTCTGTTTGACAGAGGTTTGATACTCAAATCTCAACAAAAATACTTTGTTCAGTAATGTTTTACTCTGCTGTTTTAATCTTAGTTTTATAGTAGACATGATGATATATACATTGTGGAAAGCATTTATCTGCGTTATAAAGATCATAAATGTTTACTTGACATCAGAGATACTATAGACAAGAACAGCCACAGTTGGTTATCCTCAAATTTTAGTGCGTAGCAGGGGTTCTTAATTAATTTTCTAGAGAAAACAATTTATCAACTAGTTCTACTAATTGTATGAATTTAGAAAGCAGTCAATCTAGATCTTTTTTTTTTCTTCCCCTGGACGGGATTTTTACTCTGTCACCCAGGTTGAAATGCAGTGGCGCAATCTTGGCTGGCTGCAGCCTCCACCTCTCAAGTAGTAGGACCGTAGGTGTGCGTCACCATGTCCAGCTAACTTTTTTGTATTTTTTTGTAGAGACAGGGTTTCGCCATGTTAGCTAGGCTGGTCTTGAACTCCTGAGCTCAAGCAATCCACCCACTTCAGCCTCCCAAAGTGCTGGGATTATGAGTGTATGCCGCCGTGTCCAGCCAATCTATACTTTTAATATTGAAAGATAGTTTTTTATTCACTTGGGATTTAGCTATGATTTTATTTTTGCTTGCTACTGTACTTTGGAAAATGGTTAGTTCTGATCTCAATGACTAAATGTCTTCTAAAATAGTGCATAAACAGCTGTCTCATTCGATGCATCTTTGTTGAATATTTTAGTGTTTGCTGTGTTGTAGTTGGCAGTAGAGATATGGGTTGGGAGTAGTGTTGATGAAGATGAGCTAGGGGATATGTGCTCTCAAATTCAATTTTAGTGATTTTACAGATAGTACTACAGGTCTTAATATCAACGTCCTTCAAATTTAGCTATTTGTATGTCATTATATCTTTATAGTTTTTGTAAGTAAGGTTTGTTGACTATGTATTTTAGATTAGATTTGGGATACTTATTACAATAAAAGTTGTTTCATCTTAAACCAGTCAAACTGTTTCAAATTATGACCCCCGAGCTATAGTAACGAATATATTTAAGTGGTGGGTTAATCTAATAGATCTTAGTCTTGTCTCATCTGTTTTCTTGTTACCTAGGAAATCTCAGAGTTATATGCCTCCAGGCTTCACATGTAGACATTCAGTACTGTGAATGAGTGGATCAGATAGGTAGTGAGAAGCCAGGGATTCTAGCTACCTGTGTATATATAACTGTTTAATCCTACTTCATAGCTCATTTTAACCAGTTCCAGCTTCCAGTAATTTTAAGTGAGGTAATACCAAATCAACCAACGAATAGTATCACTGCTTGTCTTTCGCAAGTATCACTTTGCAGCATTAGATTTGGTATTTCTTCTTCCTTTCAGGGAAATGTCTTTATTGCCTAAAGATCTTGTTTTCAAAGAGTATTTCTAGAGGGATGATTATATACCATTTTCTCTTCTAGAATTCCATTAGCTAATTTAACCTTTTAGAATAGCAAGGCAAATGTAATTTTAGTTTTATTTGCTTATTTTCTATGAGTCAGTGACTTTTTCCTTTTTTTCTTTTTTTTTTGAGACGGAGTCTTGCTCTGCCACCCAGGCTGGAGTGCAGTGGCCGGATCTCAGCTCACTGCAAGCTCCGCCTCCCGGGTTTGCACCATTCTCCTGCCTCAGCCTCCCGAGTAGCTAGGACTACAGGCGCCTGCCACCTCGCCCAGCTAGTTTTTGGAATTTTTAGGAGAGACGGGGTTTCACCGTGTTAGCCAGGATGGTCTCAATCTCCTGACCTCGTGATCCGCCCGTCTCAGCCTCCCAAAGTGCTGGGATTACAGGCCTGATTCCTTTTTTTCTTAATGGAATTTGAGTAGTTTGTGGTCGGTGGCCTTATAGTTTTTTAAAAATAATAGTTCCCATAAAATTATCTTGGTTATGATTTTTGTGGATTCAAACTACTCATTGTAATTAGGGATATATTTCCTTTCTTTCCAAGGAGATATATGTGTGTTTGTTTTTTTTGAACAAAATGCAGTTCTTTTTGTGTAGGTCTTACGATCCAACCTTCTTGGTTCTTTTTTTCCTTTCTTGTTTGCCAGTATGTGTTATTTATGCTGGATTTCAGTTATTTTCTCTTTCTGATATGGATCTTACCTTTTAATTTTAATACTCAAAATTAAGCGATCTCAACAGTTTTAAGCTTTCCCATTAGAATGTAATTACCTTCATTTAGATACACATTTCACTTTTGCTTCCCATGACTGTCTGCTTTAGTACATTGATACCCATTTTCACAGACCTCATCTTATGTTGCAGAAGAATTTCATTGTTAAACTTAATTTGACCTTCATTGCTGTCATTTTTAAGAGTATGGCAGACCTGTGGGTTTAGAGGCTCACAGATGCCATCTCTGAGTGTGTTGGAGATCTTGGGTGCAAGGAGTGATGTGACTGCAAAGTACTGTTGTTTTTTTGTTGCTTTATCTTTCTTCATTTTGAGACAGGGTGCCGCCCTGTCGCCCAGGCTGGAGTGCGGTGGTGGGATCATGGCTCATTACAACCTCTGCCTCCGGGGCTCAAGCTACCCTCCCACCTCAGCCTCCTGAGTAGCTGGGACTACAGGCATGCACCACTATGCCTGGATAATTTTTGTGTTTTTTGTAGAGATGGGTTTCACCATGTTGCTCAGACTGGTCTCAACCTTCTGGACTTAAGCACTCTGCCCACCTCAGCCTCCCAAAGTGCTGGGGTTACAGGCATGAGCCACCAGCCTGGCCTGTTTTTATTTTTCTTATTACTGTGATTAGCTTTATCTTATTTTTGTCTTCTACAGAGCAAAACCTCTCAAAGCTTTTACCGAACTTTTGATTTTTAAAAACTTAATTGAATGTATAATGTTCAAGATGGCACCTAAATTTTCTTATATAGCTTTGCTATGAGAAGTACAATAAATGATTGCAGTAGTTTTGTCTGCTACCAAAGCTGTCTGTGAGTAAAATTTTAAAAATAAAAACCTATAAGTCATTAACTGTTTCCTGAGTAGCATTTGTTCTGCTTTTTAAAAGGAAGATACAGAAGACATAGTTGAAAAAACTTGTTTAGCTTAATTTTAAAGTGGAATGTTGATCTTTAAAAAAATATAATTCAGATACTTTAGATATTTATAATATTTAGATATTTCAGCATTATTTATCTTATCTGGAAAAGGACAGTAGTTTAGATCCCTCGCTGATTCACAGGGATCAAGAGAATAGGAAAGATTTTAGAATTGTCATATATAATATAAGCAGTAGCATTTTGAAGTGTCTTTGCTGTTTGTCAAGTGCTGTATCTCTTAATCTTTTCAGTTATCAGAATTTAAATTCTAGTAAACTGACATAATGCCTTGAGCATTTTCTCTAGTACCTTTAAATTCAGTTCTTTTAGTGGTACATATGAATCGCCCTTTTGTGCAGTTAACCATTTTAAAAATAGTTCTTTAGAGTAATGCTTATATAATCTCTTTCTGGTTAAGACATTTTATAATCATCCAGTTTGTCTTGCATTGTTTTCCTCAAACTTATAAGTGATTACTCTAGTGTTCAGCTATATAAAGAAAAACATTCTATGCACTGTTTTAAGAAGAACTACTGCTAAAATATTTTACATAATTTGTAGAATTGTGATGCCTTTTTTTTTTTGAAGACAGTCATTGATTTTTTTAACTGTAAAGATTATTTTAAAAGTTACTGCTGTAACATTGAGTGATAATTCCATGACACAGTTGTAGAGCTATGTAAAACAAGAAAATACTGTTTTTTAAAACGGTCTTTTAAAGAAGATACAATAGATGACAATGTTTGTGTTTTATAGACTTTATAAGGAAGATTTTGTACTTTTCAGAAACCAATTTCAGTAAGTTTTACAGTTGATAATTTTTGTAGTTGGTTTTATCAGCTATCCATTGGAATTGTTTTTCTTATTATTACTTAAACTATGGCCATCTGAATTGTAGGTACTACATAAACAAACAAGGTTTTGCTGCTATTAAAACTTTACTTTTCTTTCACAGAACTATTGCACAGCCAAAACATTGTACATATCTGATTCAGACAAGCGAAAGCACTTCATGTTGTCTGTAAAGATGTTCTATGGCAACAGTGATGACATTGGTGTGTTCCTCAGCAAGCGGATAAAAGTCATCTCCAAACCTTCCAAAAAGAAGCAGTCATTGAAAAATGCTGACTGTATGTATGCTTTTTTTATTTGTCCCCAATTTCTACCATGAATTAATAAGACAGACTCTTTGTTAAATTAAAAATGGCCTTTTCAATAGCCAATTAATTCTTTACTAATATTTTTGTGGCCCTGTTTATTGTCTCTCTTTTTTTAATCGTAAATCGACAGTATGTGGTCTAATGAAACAGTTCTTAACCAGAGTTGGTTCCTTAGTGCTCCCAGGACATTTTGGGGAAATGGGAGGTTTTCTCCTTCTGTTGTTATGGTGACTGGAGGGGGTGATGTTGTTGGCTTTGGGTATCTTGAGCCTATGATGCTGAATTGAATGTCCTACAGTGTCCAAGGTAGTTCCAATTCCACAAAGAATTGATCTACCCACAGTGTCAAAAAGCACCCCTTTGAAAAACACTACTAATTAAATGGGCTTTTTGGCAGGCCTTCCTGAGAATCTAAACAGAATTTTTAATGTGGTTACTCTGGCAGAGACTGCTGTCTCATCAGCCTATTTTTAGACTACCAGAGAAGTATACTGTCTGTGTGAACTATAAATTTAACCTTCACACCCATTTTTCTTTTTTTAGCTTTTTATTATGGAGACTTTTTTTTTTTTTTTTGAGACGGACTCTCACTCTGTTGCCCAGGCTGGAGTGCAGTGGCAGGATCTCAGCTCACTGCAACCTCCACCTCCCAGGTTCAACCAATCCTCCCTGCCTCAGCCTCCTGAGTAGCTGGGATTACAGGTGCCTACCATCATGCCCAACTGATTTTGTATTTTTTAGTAGAGATGAGGTTTCACCATGTTGGCCAGGCTGGTCTTGAACTCCTGACCTCAGGTGATCCACCCACCTCAGCCTCCCAAAGTGTTGGCATTATAGGCGTGAGCTACCACCCCTGGCTGAGACTTTCAAATTTATATAAAAGGGAGAAACCAGCTACCCAGCCTCAACAGGTTTTATCATTCTGTTCCATTATCTCCATCACCACCAACACCTCTTTGTCTTCTAATTGCTGAAGTATTTTAATGTAAATCTTACCCTATCCTTTCAACCAAAATTTCTGCAATAATGACTAATACATGGCTTTTTTTTTTTTTTTGAAACATCGTTATACCTAACAGTTGACAGCAGCTCTTCAGTGTCATCTAATATCCTATTTAATGTACAGATTTATCAGATTGACCCAGAATGTCTTTTTATAGTTTTTTTGCTTTGTTTTGTTTTACAGTGGTTTGTTCAAACACGGGTTCAGACAAAGTCTACACATTTTAGTCTGTAATAGTTTCTTCTCACCCTGTCACACCTTTGTTTTCCTTCTGTGTCATTTATTTGTTGAAGAAACTGGATCATTTTTCTGTTGTGGAATTCCATATTCTGGGTTTGGCTGATTACATGTTTCTCTGTTTCTCTCATTTTCCATGAACTGGTGGTTAGACATAAAGACTTTCAGAACTAGTTGGTAAAATATACATTCATTTCCTTTGGAAGTCATAATATTTGATTATCCCCTTTTTTTTTCGTGTTAGGATTGATTATAGTAGTTCAGCTGTCGTTAGTCTATTCTACCCATAAAGTTCCTCAGCAAACTTTAACCTAATGGTTTTAATAGCCATTGATGATGTTTAAATCCATTTCATTAAATGCTGCAAAGAGGTAATATTCTAATTTTTTAAATTCATAACTTCTGCATTTGTTAGCTGGAGTTTTTTCTACAAAGAGGAACTTTGCCATATCAGCTATTTGCTTCAGTTGTAGTATGTAATGAAAAGGTAGGATTAGTTGCTTGTTTACTCATTTGCAGAACAATGATAACATTCCTTGAAAGAGACCAGTGGGGTTTTAGAGTTTTTGTTTTGTTTGCTTTCTTTTCATTTTGTTTTATTATGAGCTCATGGGTTTTTTTTTTTTTTTTTTGTATTGGTTATATTTTAGTCCACTCAGTCCACTAATATCACTTAGTTTTTATTATGGAAAAATTTCTAACACACTCAAGTAGACAGAGTTGCATCATAAAATGAAACCTCTTATGTTCATTCTCTAACTTCAACAGTGATCTTAAATTCAACCAACCTTATCTTCATCTATACCTGTACTCCAGGCCCACTTTCTTCTGCCCCTATTTTAGTTTGATGGATATCCAATCAATGTTCAAATGTAAAATGGTCTAAAGTGTTATTTTAAAAATCAGAGTGCTTGAATCAAAATTCAAATCTACCACATAGTACAGTTTATACTGTGACATGTCCTTCAGTATACACATGAACACTCCGCCCACTCCCACCCACCCCCCGGCCCGCACCACACACACACCAACTCTTGCAATTTATTTAAGTAAGTTGAGACATTTGGCCACTAGAGATTTCCACATACTGGATTTTGCTAATTTCATTTATTTGGTGTAGTTTAATGTATTTTCTGTAAATTGGCAGTGTCAAAAAGAAATAGAGCGTGGGCACTAGTTGGAAAGACAGATTTCATTCAGTACTATTGCAACAGGGGAAAATATAACCAAGTTCCATTTCAGAATACAACAAAGACAAGTGGGGATGAAGCAGAGTGAGAGGGTCAATGGATGGAAACTTACTAAAAGGAGACATCAAAGGTAGAAGGTTTCTTTCTGACCTAACTTAGGATTTGTGCTAAAGGCAGGCCAAGATGATCATAGATCCAGAGTGGGGGATAATTTAGGAGGATTCTTGCTACAGCTGAGCTAAACAGACTGATGACAGGGCTCAAGGACGAATACTAGTTGAATGCTCGGAGCAGCCTGCTTAAAAGTTTGGTCAAGGAGAGAATCTTTAGTCTAGAATCGTGATCAGATTTAAGTTTGTTGTCCTTTGTTTCTTGTTTTCTTGCTGGAAAGCAAGACCTACTTCAAAGGTGGTGGTGTGTTCTCCTGTACTAGGAGGTATATTATGTTTGTATTCAGGCTATTTGCATTTCAAATTACATGGTTTTATATAACTGCTTTAACTTTGTGTTTGTACTGAATATTAGTTTCTTGATGACAGAGAACATATTTCACTTTCAGAATATTTTTCTGCTTACATAGATTTATTTCCAAGAAATTTCATACGGTACTTTAAGGTATTTAGAAGAAAGTAGAATTTTCTAAAATCACAGTATGCAGAGGCATTTACCATCAACTCTGATAAACATCCTTCTAGTCCCTTTTCTATGCATGTATTCTGTGTAATTGGATGAAAACTCATATTAAAAATGTATACATTTGCCTAGTGGAGCCGCAGCGTACAGAGTATTTTATAGTCTGCTTTTCCATTCAGTGATATTCCAGGAAAATATTTTCTTACCAGTATATTTAGATACACATCCTTTAAATAAGTCATCATTTAAATTTCTACGGTCTAACATTCATTATTTTAAAAGTAAGTTTTTCTGTAATAATCAGCACCACATTAAACATACTGTGTAGCTTTCACTTTAAAATTATTTTTATGGACATTTGATATCATTAGCTTGACATTATTAGTAACAGTTACCTTGACTTCTTTTTTTGGTGTCATCTATACTGTCTTGGAAAGTGAAAATATTTGTCAAACTGTTAAATGATAAGAAAGAATAATTATACACTGCCAAGCAGAATTTCCTCTTTTGCTCCCTCCCCACCTTTTGCTCCAATCACATAAATAAGAGCTCTTTTTTCTTTGCAGTATGCATTGCCTCAGGAACAAAGGTGGCTCTGTTTAATCGACTACGATCCCAGACAGTTAGTACCAGATACTTGCATGTAGAAGGAGGTAATTTTCATGCCAGTTCACAGCAGTGGGGAGCATTTTTTATTCATCTCTGTGAGTATAAAAATGTGCAATGAATGTTTTTAGTGTGAAATCGTTAAATTCTTTTGATGAGATATATGGATATATTAAGTTTTGTCATTTGCCTAATCATAAAATGAATTCAAAAAGGTAACAATTTGATTTCTTTTTCCACCTACTGTAGTGGATGATGATGAATCAGAAGGAGAAGAATTCACAGTCCGAGATGGCTACATCCATTATGGACAAACAGTCAAACTTGTGTGCTCAGTTACTGGCATGGCACTACCAAGATTGGTATGGCTCTACTTTTGCTTTAGTGATAATGTGAAGTAAAAATTAATTCTTTAAACAGGAAAGTCACAACATTCAAATGGAAAAACACACCTCAATTTTATGCTTTTTAATTTTAAAAGATGTGTTAGTAATCAGAGCTGTTTATAATTGACAGTTATACTGTACCTTATTTCAGAAATGCTTTAAGGTAATTAGCCAGTTTTTACAAGTACATTCTTACTGATTTTTTCTTAAATGATTTCCAATATATTTTGGTGGCAATTTCCTTTTTAGCTGTTTATATGAAGATGTTCAGTAGAGGGCACTATAAATTACATTTGTTTTCTTTACTAATTCAGATAATGTATTCATTTTTTTGTGGTACCTGCCATATCCCAATGTAGGACCAAGTTTTCATAAAGAAGAAATTCTTATTTCTTTTAAAATATAAGCATAATTTTTGTTAGCTTACTGTATCACAAGAAGATAGATTTATTAAAACTTAAATAAAATTGGTGTTTCTAACTTTGGGAGAGGGGCATAGGATTTAGGGCTTTTGTTCAACAGAAGACATTGAAACTCAGCCACACATGGTGGCTCATACCTGCAATCCCAGCACTTCAACAGGTGAAGGCAGGAGAAGGAGAGGTGAGTAGCCCTGGCATCACTTGAGCTCAGGAGTTCGAGACTAGCCCTGGCAACATGGTCAGACCTTGTCTTTACCCCGCACCGCCCCCCCCACCCCAAAAAAAAAATTTAGCCAGGCGTGGTGGTGCACACCTGTAGTCTCAAGCGGAAGTGGGAGGATCACTTGAGCTTGGGAGGTCCTGGCTACAGTGAGCAGTGATCGTACCACTGGACTTTAGCCTGGGCAACAGAGTGAGATCCTATCTCAACAACCACTAAAAAGGAGATCTTAAACTGTAAAAACTGCTTTTGTTAGTTAAATGAAAACAAAAGTGCTCTATAGTGCCACCCCCTCCCAATTTTCCCTCTCCTTTTCTGAAACAATACAATTTATTTATATTCAAGATGAAGGGGATTTATGAGTAAGTTTCATACAAGGTCAAACTGAAGAGGTTGGGTGAGTAGAAGAACATTTAGTATTAATGTTCCTAAACATGCCTTCTATTTATCTTTTTGGTGCAGTATTCCACTGGCTTTTATTTTCTGGGGCCATTTCAGCAGAGGCCGGGTTGATCTGCAATTTTCTAAGCCAGTGATTCATTTCTGTGTTACTGTTTTTTTTTTGCCCTCTGTCATGATTGTACAAGGTGATTTTATTTCCCATGTCAATGCAATAAGCTAAAGACATGAAGTATAGTAATAGTAATCTGTAAAGCTTTGCAGTTGAGACAAATTGTAATAAAAAGGGTAACATTAGGGAATGAAGGGCATGAAAAACAGAGCAGGAGACAGAAGCAAGCACAAGATCTGAATCAGCATTTATTCATTTTTTTCTCTTCTCATTCATTTTCTCTGTTCCAAGGATGATGTTTGTTTGCTTTAGTGTTAAATGCTTGTACTGCAGAAGCACAATTTAGGAGGATGATTCTGATCCCCAATAATTTATAATACAAACCACTTAGAAGACGGACCCAAATTTAAAACAGTGTTTTCATTTCTAGTTGTTTGTAAAGTACCAGTAGTCTGCCTTACTTGAAAGTCGTCATTAATTGAAGTTTTTACACTCAAAACTGTATGGCTTTATATTAAAATGTTGCAATAAAACATTAACTTACTAGAAAAAGTTGCAGTACCATTATTAAGATGCTGATAAATAAATCTTTCTAGGGGTTTCATGACTGAGGAATTCTGACATGCAAAGTCGAGTGCCTCTCCTCATGGAGTTTACATTTTGGTAGGGTGATAAGCCAAATACCCATGTAAAGGATTTATGTAGTGATGAGAAGACAAAACAAGATAATAAAAGGATAGAGAATTGGAAGAGCGCTTAGAGAGGTCAGGGAAGTCTTTTTGAAGGCGCAGTATTTGAAGAGACCAGAATGAAGTCAAAGAACTGCCAACTGAGGGAGGAGCATTTCAGGCAAACAGAACAAGTACAGAACTGAAGGCAGGGGATGTGTGATGACTAGTAAAGAAACCAATGGAGCTGGAGCGGAGGGAGGAGAGGTCAAGTGGCAAGAACTGAAGCTGTAAGATTAGTACTAGGCAAGATCTTGTAGGATCCCTCTCTGTATCTAGGGTTAGGACTTCATATTATCTCTCTATATTAGAAGGCCACTGGAGGGTTTTAAACATAACGGCCCATTTTTGTTTAGAAGCATACGTCTGGCTGCTGGATGAAGAAGAGAGCATAGTGATGTGGCCGTGGAAGCAGAGAGACAGGTGCTTGGATTGTTGTCGTAATTGAGGCAGGAGTTGATAGTATCTTAGACCCAGGATCACAGTAGTAAGGTGTTGAGGGGTGACAGATTTGTTTGAAAGTGGACCTGACGGAATTTGCTGGGAGATTGGATGGTTGGATATGAGAGAAAGCAAGGCATTAAGGATAACTCAAGGTTTTTGGATTGAGTGAATGTTGCCATTTATTGATCTAGATGAGTTGGGGAAGGATCAAGTTTAGGAGGAAATCAAAAAATCTATTTTTGATATGGTAAGCTTGAGATGCCTGTTAGACATCATAAGTGGAAATGTTGAATAGGTAGTTAAGTGTACATACAAGTTGAATGCAGGAGAGAAGATAAGTCTGGAGATAATTAATTTAGGAGTTGTCAACCTTTAAATTTTAAACAGTATAGATTATAAAGAGCGGAAAAGAGGGCTGAGAACTCGCCTCTGGGCATTCTAAAGGTCAGTTGGAGCAGGTGTGGTTCTGAAGGCAAAATGTGTTGAGAGCTTCTGAGAAAATGAACTAAAATGTGGACAGAAAAGTGTCATGAGATACATCTGTCTGGAAATCCTTGGTGGCTTTGAAAAGCAGTTGTAGTGGAGTCTTTGAGATAAAAGGGGAGAGACTATAGGAGATTAGACAGTGAGGAAGAGGCATTTGCAGAGAAACAGGTAGTGAGAGGGAGGGACAGGCATGTAGTCAGGGTTTTCTTTACTTTTGATTTTGAGATGAGCGATAGTTATGTTTGTATGTTGTTGGAAGTGATGGATAGAAGAGGAAACTAAGAGTAAAAGTTCCGTGTCCAGTCTTGCTCTTCATCATCATCATCTCCTTAGCCATTAATTCTAGGTGTCAAGTGTCATATAGGGTTTGATAGTATTATCTTTCAGATATTCATGTGTTTTGTGGACTAGTTGGATTATAAGATTTAGAGATCATTTGGACAGGCAGCCAGCCCTGGGATCAGGACATATTCTGGTCCTTCAGCTATTAAACTGGTAATTTTTAGCAATTTATCTGACCTTTCTAAGCCCATTTTGTAATCTATAAAATGAGTTTAATTTTGTTATGTTTTTAAATACATAAGTTTTGGATAATTGATACGAGATGTTTGCACTGACAGTAGCCTTCTAGAGATTTTTCCGTTTGATGTTGGAATATTTGTCATTTTATGCATATTATTGGAAAATATCATCAGAACTTGCTATTCAAAATATGGTCTGTAGGCCAGCAGTATTAACATCGCCTGGGATTTTGTTAGAAATGCAGAATATCAGGCCCCACAAGGGTCCTGCTAGATCAGAACCTGTGTTTTTCACAAGAACCCCAGCTCATTTCAGTGCGCATTAATGTTTGAAAAGTACTGACCTAGAAAACAAGTGCCTGCCTGCCTGATTTTTTTTTTTTTTAGATGTTCAGGGAAGAGGGTAACAATTTCTATATTCTGACCTGCTTGCAATCTAAAAGTGTTTTTTATTCCTAGTCTTTTTGTTTGTGAATGTTTTTATATATGTAGGCATATGACAAATAACTGATGTATTATTATACAGTATATAACTTCTATGTACTTTTGATGTTGTACACAAGGAAAATCCTTTCCATGTATTGATGACCTTTTATTTCTTAATTGTCAAATATAGATAATTAGGAAAGTTGATAAGCAGACCGCATTATTGGATGCAGATGATCCTGTGTCGCAACTCCATAAATGTGCATTTTACCTTAAGGATACAGAAAGAATGTACTTGTGCCTTTCTCAAGAAAGAATAATTCAATTTCAGGTATGTTTTTAAATTACTGGTGAAATCTAAAATATACAAACTGTGAGGTTAGCATCTTGCAAAAATATGAAATTTTCATTTGCTGTTAATTATATACAAATACATGAAGCTATACACAGATAGGGATCTCAGGTATGAGCATCCTTAACACACAATCCTCAGACATGCAAGCAATCCTTCCTCAAGGAAGAACTCAAAATTATGAAAACGTTCTCAGAGAAAGAGTTAACATTTAGTTCTAGGGTTCTTAATTGAAGAACAAAGAGCCCCTCAGGATATCCAAAAGTAGATTTTCAGTGCTCATTGAATCTTCTGAAATTGTGTGCAAACATTGTATAGACGAAGCATTTTTCTGGGTGAAGGCTCAAAATCTCATCAGATTTACATCGTGGTTTCCCAAGATAGTAACGATGACATGCTTTAAAAGCTAATGTTTTACATTTACTCAGAAGGCTTTCATGAGGTTATGACATGGGCAGATGATTTAATAAGATAGTCACAGTTTCATGTGAAACTCCTTTCCAGTGAGATGGCCACACACACACTGATGGGCATGCTGAGTCCCTGGTCTAGGTGTGTTAAGGAAGGGGTAGGTGCTTTGCCTTCCCATCTTGATTCCCTCCTATGGAACGTGCATAAGCTTCTAGCTGTTGCCTAAGCATGAGGACCCCCATTCTCTTTCTTAGGAGTTCCCAAAGAGTTTTAAACAGCCATTTACATCACAGATATTGATCTGCTATTAATGAAATTTGTACCTGCATTGGTGTACTCATGGTTGCTCTGAAAGTTATTATTATTTAATATGTCACTGAAATAGTTTGTATTATAAGAAAAACTGCTGTCTGTGGGGTTTCTGTATTAGTATTCTGTTTGTGTTTATGTAGGGATGGGCAAAGCACCATGCTTTAGAAAGTTTATAAGTTTTTACTGAATTCTCTTAACTCTTGTCTGAGTTAAGAGATGCAAACTGTATAAAACTGTATGCAAACTGTATAAAACTTAGTTTCTAAACTTCTTTCTTTATTAGGCCACTCCATGTCCAAAAGAACCAAATAAAGAGATGATAAATGATGGCGCTTCCTGGACAATCATTAGCACAGATAAGGCAGAGTATACATTTTACGAGGGAATGGGCCCTGTCCTTGCCCCAGTCACACCTGTGCCTGTCGTAGAGAGCCTTCAGGTGAGACTGCCTAGTCTAAGTTGGCCTTTAGCTCTTTGCAGCTACTCTCAGCTATGACTTGGCATCATTTTATTTCATGGGAGTTTTGATTTTTCTCCAATTGTGTGATTTGGGGATTTTTATATTCACCATTTGTTGATTTTTAAAAAAACAAAATTAGGAGGAGCATACTTGCCAGAAAATTTAAATTTAAATAAACTTGTGTGTTATCTTGAAATGTTTTTAGCTAGCTTTGTAATAAAAAACATTTTAATTGCCCTTTTTTTTAAAAACAAATGGAAGTTGAATGAGAATCTAATTTGTGTACTTTAATGAAAAATGAAAAGTTTTCTCAGTGTTGTGATTTTCTATGAATTGCAGTTGAATGGCGGTGGGGACGTAGCAATGCTTGAACTTACAGGACAGAATTTCACTCCAAATTTACGAGTGTGGTTTGGGGATGTAGAAGCTGAAACTATGTACAGGTACTTGATAAAACTTTTTACATCATCCAGAGGTTGTGAGGGGTGTGGGTACAGGAGATTCTTTCCTGGCATTGATTGTAATGTATTAAACAACCTTGTCTTAAGTCTCATTTTTAACATGTACTTTGCTTTTTAAAGTGCTTTTAAGTGATTTATATTTCCTCCTCAGGTGTGGAGAGAGTATGCTCTGTGTCGTCCCAGACATTTCTGCATTCCGAGAAGGTTGGAGATGGGTCCGGCAACCAGTCCAGGTTCCAGTAACTTTGGTCCGAAATGATGGAATCATTTATTCCACCAGCCTTACCTTTACCTACACACCAGAACCAGGGCCGCGGCCACATTGCAGTGCAGCAGGAGCAATCCTTCGAGCCAATTCAAGCCAGGTGACCCCTAATGAATCAAACACAAACAGCGAGGGAAGTTACACAAACGCCAGCACAAATTCAACCAGTGTCACATCATCTACAGCCACAGTGGTATCCTAACTACCGTCTTTTTGCTAGGACTTAAACTGACTTGAGTGTGGCAAAAAGTCAAAAAAGGAGAAAAAATGAACAATCTTTTGTGGTTTCTTGGGAACTTTTCATACCAGGTGATACTATTCAAAAACCCCGTTATCTCTCTGCAAGTGCTCATTTGAAATGCAGAAGCCACAGTTTAAAAAAAAAAAAAAAAAAAAAAAGTCAAAATGTACAAACTATTGGAAATCAAGTTTTTCAGCTGTTTGGTTGGTTGGTTGGTTGGTTTTTGTTTGGTTTTGTTTAAATGGGCAAGAAGTAAATAATGTGGCTGGAATACAAGTTGAACAAACTAGAAGACACAAATCTAACACAGTTTTTATGGACCAAGGAACTTGTATATTGTATAAGCTTTAGTAAAAGGTACATTTTCACCATACCTTTTTTTATATCACGGTATTATAGTACACCTTGTTACCAAATAGGTTGTTCTCTTCCCCACTTACCTTTGAGCTTTTGCTCTAAAATACATTCAGGTTCCAAGCCTGACCGTGCTTGTTTAATCTAATTGTCATACTCTTCCAGGTTTCTTTTTTGGTCTAGGCTGGAACTTTTTTCTTTTATTTTCAGCTGAAGTCTTATGACTTTTCGTGAGTCAAAATTGTTTGGATTTCAGCAAGTCAAATCTTGTAAAGGCCTATGTATTTTTTTTTAAGATTATATGAAGTCTGTGCAAAAGCTTTAAAAAAAAAATGCCTCTGCCTTGCCTGCAATACATGCAATGTATGTTAACTTAGTCTCTCTTCTCAGACACTGTTGGTAGTAATTTCTGTGTGTTCCTTTTTTTTTTTTTTTTAAATGGACTTATAGTGGTTATCCAAGAGGTTCTAACATTCACATGCAATTTGGTGTGGCCATTTAGCCATTAATGAGTTAATGGCACAGAACATGTTGATATTTGAAGTGTTTTCTCCCCTTTTCCCATAACGTAAATACATAATGTGTGTTCCAGGATTTGTTCAGGTTTTTCCCCCCTCCTAATCTTGTACATAACTTGTATTATGTGTAAGTTAAACATTTTATTTTGAACTTGGAATGTTCCCAGTGATTTCATTCAGCAGAGTATTTTCTGCCTTGTTGGCAAGTGACAAAAAATATGGGAAGTATTTGCTACCAGTTGGTAGATGGTGCCCTTATGGTAGAATGAGGAAAATGTCAGCAAAAGCATGTTTTATTATCTTTACTTTTTTGGGGGGGGTTGAAGGGGGTAGCTAGCCAGAACATCATTGTAATCTTAAAACATAAGATGCTTTTATTAGATGATCAACTAAAATAGCTGGAAGACAGTACTTTAGAAACAGATAGTTGTAAGGTTATAAAATGCAAATGTAACTTATGTTTTCATTTTTTTCTCTGCCTTTTTTGTTTGTTTTCTCTTTTCCAGACTGAGCATCTCCACAAACATCTCCTAACTCAGAAAATGTTTCTTTTCTTTTCAGTTGAGATTTGGTTGCATTCAGGGTTGTATGTTGGCCTTGCATGCTAAACCCGCCAGTTTTACCTTGCTTTCATTCCTGAACTTTGGTTATGCTTTTGTTTGGTTTCTTCGAAATTGCAGCAGACTCATTGGGCTACATTTAGTACAGGAATCACATATGTAATGTTATACGACACAGTCTAGTAATACAATCATCCCTCTTAGAGTAAAAACTACCTCTAGATTGTGGTAAGCTTTTACTGTCCCATAAAACAGGAGCCACAGTACCTTATGAATGCAAAACTGTAACTTCCTACAGTGTTTCCCTACAGAACATTGTCTTTCTGGTGTCCTGGGCTGTTTTGAAAAAGTTTCCATTAATAGACTTTTTAGAAATTATTATTAGTAGCATTTTTTTTTTCAGCTTCGCTGTCTTCATCACTCACTCTATGCTCAGACTATGCCACTGTAAATATTCTTCCTAACATCTTTAAATCGCCTTTTCCTCAGTTTTCAAGGGGAAAGTCATTTGTAAAGCACGTTAGGTGATTAAATCAGTTATTGCAGTTTTCTTTTACTGCAAGCCTTTTTAATCACCCCCAGGCTGCATTTTATTCTGTATCGCCTTTTTTCTTCAAATCTGCTCCAGTCACTCACATCTCTCTTATAAGCTAATCCTGCCTCACACCTTAAATCTGTTTCAGTGATCAAGGGCAGAACTCATTGTGGCCTTATCTTTCTTTGTTGTAACTGTTCACCGTCTCTTTCTTACAGACCGCTTATTTCTGAGTAATAGTTATTCCTCTCTGTGGAGTCATGGCAGGAGTCCTTACACAGTGCTTTTGTTCAGAGCATGGACATGTTTCTAGTGCTGCTTTGCTTTAACGGCCACAAGTTTCCTCCACTTCCTAGGTTTGGTATTTAGTTAAGGAATCATATTAAATTAACCAATAACAAAAGAGATACTTTTGAAGAACAAACTATTCCTTACCCATTTTTGTAGCTCAAAAATAATTTTTCAAGTTCATGACTTTGTTAAAATGAACTTGTGCTTTTTTAACAAACGTGTGTTTTATTTTTATTGTTTCTTTCCATAAGATAATTGAAATATTATACTGTAAACCCTTCTCTCTCTCTCTCTCTCTCTTTTTTTGAAAAGTCCAAGAATCTACTTTTACAGGCATTTTTCCCCACCTATTTTTGGCCATTCTTATACCACAGACTAAAAAGTGAAACGATTTGTCCATTGTAGCTTTTTGTTTATCAGTGGTTTTTTTGTCAGCTGCTTAAATTTTTTCTTTCATGGTTTTGTGAATCATTTTCAGTATGATAATTTATAGGAACCTTGTCCTCTGGTTATAGTAGACTGTGTCCCCTCCTCCAGTGATGGCATTATTAGACATGCTGATCATTTACCCGCAGAAAGACTCTCTTCTTAGAATGGTGAGTGCTTCAGTTATAGTATAATTTTTAAAAATTCTGTTATAGAAATGTATCTTATGCTTTCATGACTTTATGCAATTTCTAAACATACACATAGAAGCTGAGTCTCTGATCCAATATGTTTTTATTTGTTCCATTTAATTTATCACATAGATTGAGAAGGCAAGCTAAAAGCTTTAAAAATGCCCTTTATATTTTGAGTGATTTCAGAGTTGAACACTAGTATGCTATCTAAATTTGCTGCTCATTTCTTTAAACTGTGGCAATTAAAGGCATTCTTATACATGACTTAATCGTGAAATGTTTGTCACTTTTACTGCACAGACTTATCTGCAATCATAACTGGTTAGTTTTTTTTGTTTTGTTGTTTTTAATGAAACTGGTACCATCTGTGCTTTCACAAAAAACTTCCAATGCCGTTTTTGAGAACTAACCTAACTAGTCTTGCTAACCAGAAAATCCACTGGGGAGGAGGTTCCTTTTGAAACAAAATGCTGTTCAGTTAGTAACCAAGTTACTTTGATTTCAAAAGCAGCTGTGTTTCTGATGAGTACTGAACAAATGTGTGTAATTTTCTGTGCCAGACTTACACTTTGTTTTCAAGCACTGCAATGTGGGATGGATGGTTAGAAACAATAATATATTAGGGTTTCTGTTTAACCCTTTCAGGACTGAACTGTATCTCCTTTTGTTAATTTCCCCGTGTCGTGATAAATGTTTGCCAGCATTCAGTACTGTGTTGGTCCAGATGTAGGTTTATATGCTCATTTTTAGCTTATTTCTTGTACCTTGCAGCATGCTCTACGCATTCAGTCCTTAAGGGGTTTATCTTACAAACTGTGCGCCTGTAAGGTTTATTAGCAATAAGATAGAAAATCGAGCAAGTTTATACCATAATTTTGTAGAAAAAAAAGAATCTGCTCAGTTCCATATTTCATCCATGAAAAACTTGCAATATGAGCAGTTTCAAGGAATAAATAAAAAGGAAATGTAAACCATTGTAAAAGTCTTCTGTCGAATGTGCCTGATGCATGTATTATCGTCTTTGATTTCAGAATACTTCATAAAGATAAAATTAAATTCTATATTATAGTTGGTGTATTTACAATCTTACCATGTATATCACATCAAAGTGATAGCTCTACTAATTTAATTTCCATGTCAATGTTTTTAACTATGTAGTGCTTTAAAGAGATTTTTTTCCCCCCATGTAAATGGTGAAATGGGCTTTGTCACTCAAGGGGCATCTCTCAAATCAGAATCATTTAAAGCTGATTTCAACAAAATTGGAGAATATTATTTAGCAATAACTTGCTTTTCCAATATAAGATGGTCATTTTGTCTGGTATAGGAAGGAACACATAATAGTTTGTCTTTCGGGGGGAGGGGGAGGGGGGTCCTAGAAGTGGGGATAGTATTCTTTAATGTGAAACAAAGGTAAATGGGGAAGTTACATAAGGTTTTTTGTTTGTTTGTTTTTGTTTTTGTTTTTTTGGACAGAGTCTTTCTCTGTCGCCCCTGAGCTGGAGTGCAGTGGCACAGTGTTGGCTCACCGCAACCTCTGCCTCCCGAGTTCAAGTGATTCTTCTGCCTCAACCACCCCAGGAGGTGGGATTACAGGCGTGCGTCACTGCAGCTGGCTAATTTTTGTATTTTTAGTAGAGACAGGGTTTCACCATGTTGACCAGGCTAGTCTTGAACTCCTGACCTCAGGTGATCCGCCTGCCTCTGTCTCCCAAAGTGCTGGGATTACAGGCATGAGCCACCATGCCCAGCCCATAATTTTTAAATCATAGCAAGTTCAGTTGTTATTGACCTGCCCAAAGAAAGAATCTAAGTTATGAGGATTTTGCAAAAGACATCTTGCTGTATACTCATTGTTAAGTTAGAAACAAACATGTAGTTGGGGTTTGAATTGTGAGGCCTCCAGAGGTTGAGATTGATAGTGAGTCACTTGATTTAGAATTTAGAATAATCTTGTATTCCTTGCTGTAAGTACTGCATGGTTACTTTAATCTTACAAAAAATAACGTGAAATATATTGGTTTTTTGGGGTCATTGAACCCCTAGATGGCCACCAGTTATGATGATGTGCAAGCCAATTTAGTTTCCAAATCTAATGAATCGGCGCAGAGTGAAGTTTCCCCTCTAAAATAACAACAGCAGCAACAAACTGGAAAGATACACTAAAAAGGAAACCCTAACAGAAAGTTTGATACTAGAAAACATTTAAGGAAGACAGATGAAGCTGTTGTATGTAAAGTACAAATGAGACCATTTCATCAAAGAGGTCGAGCTGTAAGCCTAAAGCCCTGTCAGGACCTACCTATAAGACTGGACGGTTATGCCCGTGGTTCTTTGTGTTCAGAGTAAGGCTGTCCATATGCCTGGCACATAGATATTCAACAGAGTTAGGTGAAGCTGTAACGTTCACCTATATAGAACTCAGGACTAATCTTGGTTTATAGAAAATGCAGGTAAATACTCTTTAATACAGAAAAATGAAAAGGTTGTAACTAGTTTCTTGTAAGAAGCATACTAAATGCAAATGGGTTATTTTATAACTATTGGAATTTACATGCTGTTTTGCTTTGAGGGAGGGACTTTAAATTCTGATGTTCTATGGAAATTTTTTAAAAAGGTAAGTATGAGGTGTAGGTATATCTACCATTAAGCTTTTCATCTCCTTCCAGTCCACTGTCCTGTCATTCAGTGCATGTGAGCATATAGGTCAGTCAGTTTCTTGCTTCTTTACCTGTTTGATAATTTTTACCAGTGCTGGGCAGAGGCGGGGTGCTCATATTTACTTGCATTTCAAACTATCTAGAAACACTCCCCCACCTTCATCATATAAAGGAGTAAGGAGTGTGACTAGGTTACTCCTGTAGTGGCCTGGAGCTGGCTCTGGCAGCTTTTCTTTTCTCCTAGAACTTTTTCCTCCCTTCTAGGCTGCCCTCCCCTTTATTCTTCCTCACTACACAACTCAAAAATCAGGGCTTCTGGTTTTCTTCTGCTTGTTAAACCTTCATGACTGAGTTCTTATTGTGGTGGTCAGATATTTATATTTAGATGATGATACAAAGAAAAGTCTGGGGGAAAAAATATGACCCCTTTGCTCTAACATTCTTAGTTCCCCTGGCCAAGTCTCACACTTGAATATGCGCTAGATTACACAAAGCTAGGGAGAGTGATCATGGATACCTTAAAGCAAGCTTGTCCAACCCGCGGCCCAGGATGGCTTTGAATGTGGCCCAACACAAATTTGTCAACTTTATTAAAACTTGAGATTTTTTTGCGATTTTTTTTTTTTTTTTTTTGGAACTATCGTTAGCGTTAATGTATTCTGTGTATGGCCCAAGACAATTCTTGCAGTGTGGTCCAGGGAAGCCTAAAGATTGGACACTCCTGTCTTAAAGCATTTTTTCATCTTGAAGGTAACGGATCTTCATCTATAAGTAGAGCTAATAGTCATTTCTAACTTCAGGTTAGACCTCATGTTTCTGGACCTCACATTGGCTTTAGGAAGACCCAAACTCAGAGGACCAGAGTATGAAATCGTGGCAGAGATTTATGCTCAAATCATAAACACCATCCTGCCATTGATTATCATCTGGTGGCTGATTCTGCAGCTCTCCATTGCTAATTTGTTTCATTTAAGTGGGGGGAAATGATGCATAGTTAGGAGAGGACACAAAAAGCTCCTTTCTGTCCTGCCCATCCAGCCCTAGTTTAGCTTCAACGCCCAAGTATCTGCTTTGGCTGTCCTCAGGTTTAGAGATCATTTTGTCTTGGTTTTTCCAGGAGCAACAGGAGCTCAGTGCTGAGGCCTGATTTTTGCTTGTTCTTTCAAGAAAACAGTGATAATGTTGTTTCGCATTTAATACTTCAGAGGTTTAAAAATGTAGACCTTCACTATGATAGCTGTTATTGGACATTTCAAAATATTTTCCATCTTAGTTTTGTCCTGCAGTTTGGAAATCTTTTATCATAGGAGTGGCTTATCTAGGGGACTAGAATGTGTTCCCTCTTTTCTATCTTTAAATACCTTATCAGGATTCCATTTTGCAGGTGAGAATAACGGTCATGCGAGCCTGGGTCACTTGCCTCTCCCTGTACACTTTGAAGCATCAGTTAAAAGGAACCTCTAGAGGCTGTTTAGTTTCTCTGGTGAGAGGCCTGGAGGTTGCTGGAATGGGAGAAGAGATGCCAGACAGCCGTTCTAGAGGACTACAAGCAATAGGTTCAATAATAAACTATCTTCTATTTGCTAAGGGCTTTATATGAAATATTTCTTACTCCTCAAATTCTGATTAGCTAATAATACACTGGGAAGCTTTTGGAAAGGATGCCCAGGTCCTGAGGCACAAAGCCCCTCCCATCTTTAGCTTGCAGTCTTCTCTAGAAATGTCCCTTCCACGGGCAGGCATTGCTGCTTTTCTTCCCACTGTGACTCCGGGTTGCTGAGAGACTTCTGGCAGGCTCCGCTGGCCACTGGGCAGAGAACAAACTTGCAAGCTCCCATCAGCCTTGTTTGGCCATGTGAACGGAGGATCAAAGTGAACTGGTTTGCGAGGAGGAGAATGAAGGAGACACTCCGCAAGAAGTGGGAGCATTCCCAGCGCCAATTCCTTCTGAGACTCCACTGTCTTTCCTTCCTCGTGGAGGAACCTTCCACTGACATTTGCTAAGATACTTGGCCTCTGCCTTTTTGTTGTTGTTGTTTTTGAGACATAGTCTCACCCTGTCACCAAGGTTGGAGTGCAATGGCATAATCGCGGCTCACTGCAACCTCTGCCCCCCAGGTTCAAGTGATTCTTCTGCCTCAGCATCCCAAGAGCTGGGGAATTACAGGTATGTGCCACCACGCCTGGCTAATTTTTGTATTTTTTTTAAGTAGAGAGAGGGTTTTGCCATGTTGACCAGGCTGGTCTCGAGCTCCTGACCTCAAATGATCTGCCTGCCTTGGACTCCCAAAGTGCCAGGACTATAGGCATGAGCCACTGCACTCAGCCTTTTCTTTGTTGTTTTGAGACAGGGTCTTGCTCTGTTGCCCAGGCTAGAGTGCACATCTGGCACAAACATGGCTCACTGCAGGCTCAACCTCCTGGTCCCAAGAGACCCTCCCACCTCTCCCACCTGAATAGCTGGGACCACAGGTGTGCCTCACCATACCTGACTAATTGTTTTGTATCTTTTGTAGAGATAGGGTTCCTCCATGTTGCCCAGGCTGGTCTTGAACTCCTGGGCTCAAGCAATCTGCCCACCTCGGTCTCCCAAAGTGCTGGGATTATGGGTGTGAGCCACCACGCCTGGCCTGTTAGCCTCTGTCTTTGACAAGGTATTAATAACTCTTTGCTGAATTAGTTAATGTAGCTTCTCCACAGCCAGAAACTGTGGATGTGGCAATAAATAAAGGCCTGCTACATGGAGCTTTCCTTCTAGTGGAGAGAGGCAAGAAACGGTATGGATGCATGTTTACCTATCAGAGGGCTCAGAGAGAGAGAGAATCTGACCATCAAAGGACCTTAGCAGCATCCAGGGCGAGAATTATGTCCTAAAGGTATTGATATGTGATGTGCAGCATACCTCTGATGTCACTGTTTATTGCAGCGGGGGTGCTGTGCACACATCACGATAAGGTGAAGCTGGTTAAGTAACTTAAGTTTGGCCCAGCTGTCTTCCTCTGGGTCTGTTTCAGCCACCTTGAGGTAACTAACCCCTGGGTATACCATTCATCAGGGTAGAATGACCCCTGTGAACTGTAGGGATCAAGAGAGGAGTAAGAGAAAAGGAAAGCCCACCAGACACTGACACAGCCAACTGTGACTCTGGGATTCCTCTATGCCAAGAAGGCGCTACTTACAGGATCTCCAAGGAGTTTCTGATAGAGAACCCCACCTTAGAGCAGAGTCAGACAAGTTAGAGGCAAGGACAGAGGAGCCAGGCTGACGAAAGGCAAGGGAACTCGCAGATGGGCTGAGGAAGGAGCCTCACTGTCAC